ATAAAATTGAACTAATAATGCTGATAAAAACCAGAAAAAGAATTTCTAAAACTTGCTTGTTACCTGAAATATTAAAAGAAATGGATTAGGTTTATTTTTTAATAACTGTCCTTCTTTTATTTAAATATTTTAAAATACTATCTAAAAATTCATAAGTAATCAAATTTGTTATTTTTTTAATTAATATTTTTAAATTAATATAGTTTTTTTTTCCTTTTTTTTTAAAAAAAGAATTTTACCAAAATACAGTATTTTTATTATGAAATATTAGCAATTGTCAATAAAATATAACTAAATAAAAATTTTATTGTTTGGAATTTATTGGTTCTTACCAAAAATTAATAAAATTATTCATTTTTTGTATTAGAAAAATAGAAATTTTTGCTAAACAATTGGCTTTGACATTAAATATAAAATATTTTTATTAATTTTGAGTTTTATTTTATAAAATTTAAATGAATATTGACACTGTTTGAAAAGTTATTTCTATCTTAATCGTTGAATTTATGGTTTGTTTTCTTATGAATACAAAAGATAAAAAATAAATTTGACAACTTACAATAATTCTTAACTCAAAATTTTGCTCACGGTGCCGGAAAGTCTTTTAAATCATTATTTGTGTATTGATGTAATAATAATTATAATAATAGAACATTTTCTCTTCATATTAATGCAAAATGAAAAAAGTATAATTGTAAAGCTATTGATTTATTATTGTTCTGTTTATTTTGGCTTAATTTAATTTCAAGAAAAAAAATTTTATCTTTTTATTTAATGTTAATTTAAAAATAATTGAAATGTTTTGTATGCTGTGGATAAATGGCTAAGCAAAATAAAAAATAATTTGCGAATCCCAATTAAATATCCAATTAGCAATTAATGTGATTTTTGGAAAATCAAAATACGACATCGAAAGGTCAAGAAAAAATAGGAATATATAACAATGTGCAGAAAATGAATGAAATTCACTACCATAACTGTTCATCTGTAACTTTACGAAAAATCTTACCACCTAGTACTAATGCCTCCCTATGAACCCTGGGTGACTTTTCTAACATAACCTGAATTCATAGGAATGAAAGCCATATCTTCCTGCAGTGCGACTACTAAGCTACATTACGGCTGTGAACCCTCCGTTTCGAAGGTCTGTAAATTCTCCATTTTCTTGCATGCAAAGACTTGCGAGTTAGACCAAAAAGTTCTATCTTATCAAATCCTTATAATATAAACGGTTAAGCGGAAAAAGATAAATAGGATAAGATACAAATACCAAGTAAAAATATTGAATAACAAAACAGAAAATAATACAATTAGATCGAATACAAAAAAAAATACAAAGATAAAACGTTGTAAAAATGATTTCATTAAAAGCAGCCATAAAAATGTAAATCCGCCTACTGCAAAAGCAGTAAAGAATTAACGCAAACTCTTGCAAGTCATTTTTTTTATTTCCCAAAAAATTTGTTGTAAAATATAATACTAAAGCAAAGCAAAATAAAAATTTTTTTACTTTTATATCATATACGATCGTGAGAATTTACTTGCAGATCTGTACCAATTTTAAATAATGTAACAATAAGAAATTTTTTTCATATGGTTGTTGACAATCCATGGTGATACAACTTTTCGATGATTTTGAAGAAATTTTTATATTGAATAAAGCTATTGTTTATTATTTATTGTTATTGATTCTGTATATTTTGACAACATAAGTTTTTCACGTGACAAAAAATTTCAAAAAGAGAAATTTTTTATATTTAATAATTAAATGTTATCATTATGCTGTGGGGATGGCTAAGAAATATAATGAATAATAAACCAAAATTAAATAATTTGTTATTTTCAGGAAGACATCGAAAGATCACGAAACAATAGGAATATATAAAATTATGCAGGAAATGAATGAAGTTCACTAATATATCTGTTTATCTGTCATTTCACAATGTTCCAGAAACCTTATCACTCGCTCCTTGTGACTTTTCTAAAATAACCTATATTCATTACTATAAAAATTTTGTCTGAATATTTTCATTATTTCTTCGTGGCTTACATGAAATTTCCGTGAAAATGAGAATCCGTATAAATGATATGAAAATTATTGTGATTTAAGATTATAAATTCCGTGAAAATGAGCTTTTCACGGTCATAGAATTCAAAACACAGATCATTTTTTTTATAGGACATTGGAATTCAAGCTATATCTTCCTGAAGTGCAACTATTATGGTTGTGAATCCTCCATTTCGAGGGTTTGTTTCTTCTACATTTTCTTGCAGCGCAAGTCATACCAAAAAGTTCCGTTCATCAAATCCTTATAATATAATCAATTAAGAGATGAAAATGCATAAAATATCAAGTCATATGGGCTAATATGCATAACAGATTTTTAATACCCTAAAATTTTTTGATAATAAGACAGACTAGGGCAGGTCATTTGACATTGATAATTACCGGTAATTATTATTTCGCAATTGTGGCTCCTCTTTAATAAAATAATTTATCATGTTTTTACGATTGTATTTTTATTATAAAAATTAAAAATGATTTTTTAAATTTAAAAATTTTGGATAAATTCGTTTATAATAATTTAATCGCAATTTAATGATGATTGAAATCGAAGCACAGAAAATAAAAACTTATGAGTTAGGCGATTATTCAGAATGTCCTATAATTACATATAAAGAAATAAAAAATAATATTACACAATTATTTTATAGAAGCAGAAAGATTTTATCCAAAAATTTCTTTACTTTGTTATACTTTACCTCCGTAAAAGTATCCAATTCCTGATAACCTTTCTATAAAAACTACTTGGGAACGTGAAAAAAATCAGCAAACAGTTCAATGTAAGATTAAATATAAAAATGGAAATCCAGAATTTCAAATTTTATTTGTTTCGGATTTTGAATATGTAATTAAATCAAATAAATCGGCAAGCAAAATTGCAACAGATTATAACAAGGCACAGTATTTTAAAATATCATTATTATATTTATTTATTTTTTTTAAATAAATTTTATTTTATAGGCTATAAATATAAATTCGAATAAAAATAGTTTTTTATCTGGACCATTACTATTTGGATTACAACTTCAAAAACTTAGAGAGTCTCAAGTTAAGCAATATTTGATTAAATCTGCAAAACAATATTCACAATCATAACTTAATAATCACGCAAAAGGAATAGCAGCTATAGTAAAAAAGGAATTTATTCAAAGTGCAAAATTCATTTATCATAATCAGGATTTTGTCTATTATATCTTAAAATAATTTTGTATAAGATATTTATCAATTTTAAAATTATTTGTTTTAATTTATTTGGTAATCATTTAATGTTATTATCAACATTATTCTTTAACTTTTTGATTATATTTTTTGATTGATCTTTATTATTTTTATTCAAAGATCTAGAAGAGATAAAAGCAGATGTAAAGATAAAGATAGTGGCAGAGATAAGATAGAAGCAGATGCAAATATAGAAATGAAAGTCAAAACAGGAATAGAGGTAAAAGTTAAGGTAGAAGTGATAGTAAAGTAGAAACCAAAAGTACATTTAAATTTTCATTTTTACAGGATAAAATTATTTCATTTTTTTTGTTAATTAAGAAGTCAGTCAAAAAGAATAAACAATTTAATATGGAATTTGTTTGGTAAAAATTAAAAAAAAAATTGAATTTTTAATTCTAATTTATTCAGTAATCATAAAGAAAATATAAATTAGAAATTACATAAAAGAAATAGTCCCCCAAAACTATGTAAAAAATATAAAAAAATAACAATATTTTGTTTTTTTATTGCTACTTTAAGCAAAAAATAAAATAAAACAAAAATAACAATATACAGCAGAAAATAAAATAAACAAATATTATAAGTATGTTCAAACTGAAAAACTGAATAGATCGCAAAAAATTTAAATAAATAAAACTTTCCATAAATAAAATCGAATGAAAAATCGCTACTAGTTTAACCAAAAAATAATTAATATTAATAATAATTAATTAATATATGAAATAAAGAAAATACTATAACAAACTTACTGAAAATCACCTGCATTAAAAATCCCATTTACTGAAATGGCATATAGTGAAAAACTGCTAAAAAAATCTAAAAAATAAAGCAAAGAAATTAATAATGTATATTAACAAAACAAAAAAATGAAAACCTTACTTATCTATTTGAAGTGCAACCCACATTAAGATCTAAACATAAACTATAATAATAATATAAAAAATAATCAAAAATCCCAATCTCACTTAATTGAAAGCAGCCCTAAAGTAAAAACCTAATCTAAAAAAGAAGAATCATTAAAAAATCAAAAATCAAAAAAAAATATTATCACTTATCTGAAGTAAATAATAAAACAAAAAAAATTATAATCTTATTTACCTGAAAATCGTTTTAAAGTAAAAACTTATTTAAAAAAAGTAGATCATTAATAATGAAAGCTAAAATAAAAAAAAAATTCCTACTTATTTAAAAGTGGTACTAAAGGGAAAACCTGATTTAAAAAAAGAATCATTAAAAATAAAAACAAAAAAAATCCCATTTATAATCAACTATGGATGAATCTTTATGAAAAAGATTTATTATACAGGTTACAAAAAGCTCTTTTCAGTGACGTAAATCGAAGAAATATAATAATTGGCTTAATTTATTTTATATTTTTCACGATTGAAAGCTTCAGCATCCACGAAGCGCGTCACCGTGATTCTTGAAAAATTTATTATACAGTAGCCCAACCAAATTAGGAAAAACTATAATTAATTATTTTTGATATTCGATTAATTTGTTTCAAAAGATATTTGATCGCATATCTCGTAAATGCTTCCTTGATAATTTTAAAATAGATAAAGGAACAACGTACCTATTTAAAAATGTAGAATTACATCTCCATTTTTTTTAATGAATAATCTATTTTTCAGATCACAACAATATAAAAATTCCTCGATAATTGTGTTAGGAGTATTACTATGGTAAATTTCCGAGATTAAATAATTTTTTCTCAAACGGCGTCATCTACCTCCACACTTTCATTAAATATTCTACATTTCTATATATAAAGAATATTATATATCGTATTAGTAAATTATGGATAAATTATTAAGAGAAAAAAAATATTTACAATGATGTTGTCGTAAGATCGCTCCTTCATATTCAAGTTAAGGCACGCCACTATGAATTCCGCTACTATAATTATGAATTGTAAATAGTAAATATATTAAATGTAATATTAAATTAAAACTATATATATATATTTATTACCATCTGCGTGCCCACTTTCTAACATCCTATTTATTACAGGTTCCTTCCCATCCTTAATTATCTGCAACCTATAATCAATTTCTGCCAATAGATCTTTAACACCTGCCTTCACAGGTTGCAATAAAAAACCTTTCTCATAACAATAAAATATCAGGTGTCCTAGTGACCACCAATCTGCAGACTCATTCTGGAAATTTTTCTTCAATACCTCAGGTGCACCTTAAGCGAAAATAAGGATTAGGACCTAAAATTATTTTCAATATTTGTTAAAAAGTTACTTACATAACAATGGTGTACCTCTCGCATCTCTTGGATTCGAGCTTAATTTGCTACTTAATCCAAAATCTGTAAATAACAATGAAAGTGGATTTTCGTTATTTACAAGTATGTTGTCTGGCTTAATATCTCTATGAAGCCATCCCTTCTCATGGATTAACTATAAATATGTTATAAAATTAATATTATTAAGCATAGAATGATTAAACGATTGTTATGCTAACCTTCAGATTAGGCACTAGACATTTTATAATGCTTCTCATGGTATCAACATTAACATGGGCTTGCTTCTGAATCCATGTCAATAATGAATTGTGCCTGACCCTATAAAAATGAAAAAAATATGTCATGTATTATACTGTATATAATTTAAATTAAATATTTATTTGTTAATTATATACCAATCCATTATCAAATAATTATTATTTGATTCTTTATCATGAAATATTTCATGCGCTTTCACGGCACAGGCCTATAAAGACAAAATAAATGTTAGCAAAAAATTTATAATCAAGTTAAAATATAAGATTAACTGACCAAGTCTTGCAATTCTTTCATTGTATCATACTCCATTCGTAATGAACTTTTTGAAATTTTCGCCGCGAATAATTGTCCATCATCAATTTTCCTAACGAGATGGACATTTCCAAAGCCACCACTGATAACATAAAATAAATCAGTAATGTATTAAATGAAGAATTTATTACACCGTTAATATATACCCTCCAAGTCTTTGTACGAACTCATATTTGTGTAGGAAACAATAATTTTTCACTACACATATACTTCCGGACAAACCACCTAATTATATATAGAAATTAATATTATTAATTTCTACAAGAATTTATATAATGTGAATTGGTTTGTACCTTGTGTATCTTCATCATAATTCTAAATAAATAGTAAATTTATTATGTGAGTTCGAAGATCAAATGGAAGTACAGCAAAGATTTTAATTCAGAATCACAGTTAATGAAAAGAAACGTTTTGCACGTTGAAAATTCATTCAAATGTTGCCCTTTTACGAATTTTAAGTTAAAACACAACTTACTGTAATTCTATCACAACCGCACTGTGATAAATTTGCGGTGCGAAATTCGTCTAGGTAAAATGTATGTAGAAATTAATACTGTAAACGCATGTCATGATTCATCTTATAATAAAATTGCGCTTACATATTTCAAAATTTTGATTGCTTCTAAACTTCAAGATAGTTCCATCTTGTAACTTAATTTTCTCTTTAAGTGCCACATAATCCCATTTCTTCATTTTTCTTTGCATTCCGTCTTGGCTGAATGTTTAAAGTTATATAAACTGTAAATAATATAAATTAATTATGAAGTTTAGAAATTTACAAACCATAAATTTTCAACGGTGGCTCCATTTCTTTCATCCTGAAATTAAAAATAAAATAAAAATTTTACATAAGAATCAGGCAATAGCGAATTACGTGGTAATACTCACGTAGTGTATTCCTGCAAAGAAGGTCTCTCCACATCCTTCTAAATGTATGTACTGTTGTAAAGATTGTAAATAAAATTTTATTATATATATATTTTTTTGCGATTGAAATAATCAATTAAAAATTAAAAGAACCTAATATACTTACATTTCCCTCTAATCCCTCGTGGTCACCAAACATATAAAAATTTTTATCTAAGGATATTACACCGCGCGATGATATCAAAAATCCCCATATATTGCCGCCAGATAATCTGACTTCCTTATTGATAGAACTTTCGAGGATTTGACTTGCAGATCTTTTGACCATTTTTTTCAAATAATAAGTTGATTTTTAGTCAAAGTAATTAGAATTGGAAGTTGTATATAAAAGTAGATAAAAAGTGAAATGAGGTTAAAGCTTGATAATCTTTTTAGATGAATTTTTACATGTGCATTGTGGCTAAAAGAAGAGTCGATCTAATTCGAACTTAATCAAATAAATGCACTGATGCGATACCGATAAGCGTAATTACAATTAAAAAAAGTATTAGTTGAAAATTATTTTAGATTTTATTCCGTTAGTTCTTCCTAAAAAAAATCATCGGAATTGTTTATTCAATAAAGTATTTAAAAGGGTTCCATTTTTGGATCAGAATCACAAATCATGAAATTTTAATGTTTATTATTGAAGAATGGTAATAACTAACGAAGGGTGACAAGAAAGTCATACAGTATATCAAAAATTTTGGCTTCAATCTATAATAATTAGATGTTGCCCTAGGTATATCGTCGTATATCTAAATAACTATGATTCCTTAGATAAAATGCTACTGAGAATTTTTTTGATATAGTAATTCGACCCGACTCAAAGTGTTAATAAAAGAGTGAATCAATATGAATTGTTGAGACAATTTTATCTTAACATCAAGTTATCATCCATAGGCTAATTTCATGTCATAAATGCGAATTTCATTCCTGGCTGAATGCAATTTTTCGATATATCGATTTTATCCGGGCCATATGAAAAAAGGATATCACTAGTTTGAAATCTTCTTCCGATAAACAAATACTAAATCGGTAATCGTATAAGACAGAGAATACTTCGGACAATGACTGTAGTATATTCATTATCTCGTTATTACTTAATTTTTTGTAATGTATTTTCTTGCTAAGTCGTACCAAATATAAAGCATTTACCTTATTTTATTTATTTTGAGATAATGGTAAATAATTGTATAATTTATGTGAATAATTTTATTTTTCCATTATATATACATGAAAAAACCATAACTTTTGCATTGATGCCAAATGAGGTTTATCAAAATGTCTTTGGACAAACAGATCACATATTTAATACAATTATAAAGCTCAAGGATTAGAATTATTACGGGTACTTGAATTTTGTATTTACTAGATAAAATTACCACTGTACTAGTACTGTACTTGTACTAATTTTTATATTAATTATTATAATGTACTAACTGTACTAACTGTATTAATCATTGTTATTCCACAGTTTATCAGAAGCTACTTTATCAATGAAATTATAAATCATTTTCGCGTATAAGTCAATTCGTAAACCCCCAATATCACACAAATCTTAGGAGTAATATCAAACCGCGTAATTATATTTCGATAAAACAATGAAACATTGCACAGATCATCGATTAATGTGGCGTTGGAACGTTGGAAGTAATTGCCACGACAAATTTTTAGATAAAATAATTTTACATTCCGAGTGATCTTTTCCCTAGGGATGACAACGCCGTTAATAGTCGGCCAACGGTCTACGATTTAAACACTTATAGTAATCAAAGCATGTTTGACCGCTAGGTCAAAATCGGTCAGTCAACATGTCGGTCAGAAGCCTTTGACCGACTGGTATCGGTCACTGTTATGACCGGTTATGACCGGTCATAACCGTGAACAGTGTTGGATTTGGACATATATAAGTTTATATGTCCAATTAGATAAATGTCCAACACTGGCCGTGACCACCAGCATCCCTACTTTCACTTTCATTAAATATTTTGCATTTCTAAATAGAAATATTATAATTATTATTAGTGTCGTATATAAATTTATAAGAGAAAACAAAAATAAATATATATATTATTTACAATGATATTTTCGTAGGTTCATTCTTTCATATCCAATTTAAGGCACACATCTATGAATTCCACAACTAAAATTATGAAATTACAAATTTATCAATATATTAATTTATAAATTATAATATTATTTGTACATCGATAGTTTCATTTTTATTATAATTACCATCTCCATGCCCATTTTCTTTCATCTTATTAATAATGGGTTCATTCCCATTATTTATTATTTTCATCCTGTGATCAATCTCTAACAAAATTTCCCTTATACCTATCTTTGCAGATTTCAACAAAGAACCACCCTTATAAATACAAAAAAATTAGATGTCCCAACGACCACCAATCTCGTTTTGAGGTTTTTTCTGCAAAACTTCAGGTGCGCCTTAAAGTAAATTAAATATTAGATATATATATGAAATAAACTAAAATTATTTAAAGGTTACTTACAGAATAATGGCGTGCCACTAGCTTCACTAGGATTTGAACTAAGTCTACGACTTAATCCAAAATCTGTTATTAACAATGAAAGAGGTCTTTCATTTTCCACTAGAATATTGTCTGGCTTAATATGGGGTGAGTGCTGGGAAAATGGACCAAATTGATTTTTTTTTTTAAAAAAAAGTTCCGGTCATCTGATTCAGATCATTTGTTATTTCAAAAAAAATTTTTAGTCGATTTGGTCCTTTTTCCTAGCACTCACTATGTAGCCATCCTCTTTCATGTATTTACTAAAATAACAAAATCAATAATAAGAATCGTAATATAATAAAGAATTTGTATAATTATAGCAAATATGCTAAAATATGCTAACTTTAAGATTAGGCACCAAACATCTTATGATTCTTCTCCAATTATCACCATTGTCTGGAACTTGCTTCTTGATCCATGTTGTTAATGAATTGTGTCTTGCCCTAATATAAAATGAAATATTTAATTGGCGTATAACAATATCCGACTATATATATTATAGTTATTAATTACATACCAATCCATTATCAATAATGATTTTCTGAATTATTTTCGTGAAATCTTTCACGAACTTCGACAACACACGCCTAAAGTGACAATATAAATATTATATTATTAAAAATTTTATAAATTAAAATAAAATATATAGATAACTGACCAAGTCTAATTCGTTTATTGCTATATATTCCATTAGCAATGAACTTTTAGAAATTTTCGCCGCGAATAATTGTCCATCGATTTTTCTAACAAGGTGGACATTTCCAAAATCACCAAAATAAATCACACCACACTTCAGACGAACAACCTAATTATATATCTAAATTAAAATTTCATAATAATGTGAATTTGTTTGTACCTTGATTATTTTCATCATAATTCTAAAATAAATAGTAATTAAATTATATGAGTTCAAAGATCATATAGAAATATAGCAAATAATTTTTTTCTGAATGTACAGTTCTATGAAAAGGAAATATTCCACGCGTCCAAAAACATACAGAAAGTTGTCCTTTTCTGAAGATTTGAATCCCGAATTTAAAAGTTAAAGCACAACTTACCGTTATTTTATCACAACCGCACTTGATAAATTTGCGGTGCGAAATCCATCTAGATAAAATGTATATAACGATAGTTATAAAGTTGAAATTAATATTGCAACGAAAGTCAGATTCAAATATACTAAAAAATTGCACCTACATGTTTCAAAAACTTCTTGACATCTAAATTGCAAGAGCATTCCATCTTGCAATACAAAACGCTCTTTAAGTTCCAACTTTTCCCACTTCTTTTTTTTATTTGCATTCCATCTTGACTAATGTAATCATATGAAGCTGTAATAAACAAATAAACTTTCGAGTGTGTTTCGTCCTGAAATTAAAAAAATAAAATTTAAATTTAAAATGAATTGTTAAATAACAGATTAAGAAATTTAGCGACTATCTCACATAATAAATTACTGCGAAGAATATCTCTCCACATCCTTCTATATGTATCTAAAATAAAAATTGTAAATAAATTATGAAGTAATTAAAAATCGATTGATTCTATTATATTTACATTTCCCTCTAACTCCTTGTGGTCGCCAAACATATAAAACTTTTCTTCTAAAGTAATAACCCCGCGTGAGGATATCAAGTATTAACGTTTGATAACTTGACTTCCTTGTTAATAGGGCTCTCCTAGCGGTTCTTTTGACCATTTTAACAATAAAAAAGTTGAATATTTTGCAAAGAAAATAGAATCGAAAAGTTTAATATAAAAGTGGATAAGATGTTGTTCACCACCAGTATCAAGTGTTTTATATGTTTATATTGGATGTGTTAGTGTCGCGTCTCCCTGTTTTCATGTTTTCATTTTTACTATGTATTCTAGGGACTTGGAATTTTTTCACCGCTAAAAAATATTTGTTTACCCCACTTAAATGTCACCGGTCACATGAGGTAATAAAAAACATCAATTACTATTGGTTGATTTAACACTACCAGTTATAAATAGAAAATTTCTTTAAAGAATCGACCAAAATGGAAAAGACTCACTTTTTTGGATCATAGTCTTTAAACATAATAATGAACTTTTATTGAATATGCTTCAAGGTTTAAGGATTAAAATAAATATAAAATTATATTTTTAGTATTTGTGATTTTATGAGTTATAAATTTAAAATCAATTAAATTATATATAATAATTTAGTTAATTAAATCATAGATCCAATGTTTCTTATACATCAATTGAACTTATTCAATAAACTAATAATCATTAGATCCATTAGCCATAAGGTAAGGCTAACCCTGATTTAATATGCTTTACTTTAATTACTAGCTTAATAGTTAGTAAGGTATAAACTAATAGGTACTATATTAAGATCAAAGATAACTGAAAAATCAAAAATCTCATTAATGTAAGCTATTATCATTAAAAAACTTACTGAATTTAATAACTCTATATATTTACAAAATCTACAATATAGACTTTTAGTAGGCTAAGTAATATATACAATAATTGAATATTAATATACTATTTTGAGTATTAAATTTTATAATTGAATAAATAATTGCATAAACAGTTTTATAAATATTTTAAATTGTTAGCCCTGTTTAACTAAAATTAGATTATTATATAATAAACAATATGTTTAAAGTGATCTTCTTAAAACTACCAAACTTTTTACCTTTTAAATCTATAAAAATGTTTTTATAAAGTAAGCAAATATTTTATGTAAAACAAAAAATTTCTAAATAGTTAAAAATATTACACAGTTATCTTATATGCTAATACCAAATTATATTAAAATTACTACATCATAAGATCCGCAAAAAGATTAATTTTATCAACTCTTTTAACATTTTCAACATTTTATATTTTTAATATTATTTATTTATTTATTATTATTATTATTATATTTAACATAGTTTTAATATTTAGATTATATTTTATATATATTAATTATTTTATTGTTATAAATTATTTATTTTAAAAAAAATATTACATATTGATTATGTTATAATTATATTTTTGTATAAATAAAATAAGAATAGCTCATATGAAAAAAACTCAAGTATGAGTTAAAGAACTCATGATAAGTATTCAAAGGTTTAGAATCCAAGTGTAAAGGATTCTAAGTATACAATATTTACAATTAACTAATCTTTCTTTTTAAACTATAAACTTTATTTATTCTTCTATGTGTTTACATTTTTATTGATTAATTTATATTTGATTGATTATAATAGAACTTAACTCATAGTAAACTTAATTAAATATACATATTTCTTCCTATTATTAAGTCAAAATTAGTTACCCTAAGTTTGATGGTTAAGCCTAAAGTTTATAAAGTCAAAAATGGCAAAAAATTTGCTATCATAGGATCGATATCTATATAATTTTATTTACTATAATTGATATATGACATATTCAATGACTGCTATATAACATAAATTAGTAATTATATATCTGCCTATCTGCAGATTTTGACATAAAATTTGACTCCTAAATGATCATTTATATTATAAAAATTTCTGACTGTAAAGTTATCAAATTATTATTAAAAAATAATAAAAATATGGGTAAAATCTATTGCTTCTTTCAAAAACTCATTAAATTTTTTAGATAAGATATAAAGTAATAATAATATTATTTATTTGCTCATTTTTATAAATTTTATATTTATTTTATTTTATTATAAACTTTATTATTTTAAAACTAAAGCTATAAAATAATATAAGTTAAAGCATATATTATGCCTTCAGCAAGACTTTCTCAAACTTCACAACTTTACTTATTCTATATGTGAAAAGAATTCATAAACTAAAAAAGTTTAATACAATATTAATAATATATACAAAAATACAATACAATCAATATTAATAGAACTTAATAAGCTACCAATAAATAATATAACTAAATTTAAACAAATTTTAGTTACAATAATATATAAATAAACTACTTTTAAAACTTAAGTCTAAGAAAAGAAATTATTCTCTATATTATGCCTAAGATTGCTATAAAAATTAAAGGTTTTTTTTCATTTACTAAAACTACAAAATACTAAAACTTTGCCAATACTATATTAAAATCTTATAAATTTTATGTGAATCTATAACAAATGCTGAAATATTGAAAATATTATAATAATAGTGAAATTGAAGAAACTATATTAAACACTTATTTAAAATTTTACTGAAATTAATTATAGAATTTTAAAGAGTTTAGAAGTATACCCTTAAAATAATTTTTTATTTTTACTATAATATCATGAATAGTTTAAATATAATTTTAAACTTAAACTAGTAAGAAAAAAGAATTTATTACTAAATTCAATTGATATATATTATATTCTAATATTATGAAATATTTTTAATTCTTAAAATCAATTAGAAGAAATAGATCGTCTTGATCAATTATTATAAACTTTAATTGAAAAACATAAAAAAATTTGAAAATTATGATTTTAATATAAGAAAATTTTAATTAAATGGAAAAATAAATATTAAAAGTTAATAAAATTATAAATATGATAGAATATATAAATTTTATTTTTTTATTATATAATTACAAAAAATACAGTAAAAATTTATTGTAAATAAATTAGAATAAATGAAAAAATTTATTATAAATAAATTAGAGTAAAATAAAAACAATAAAATTCATTTAATACAAAATTTTTAATTCTTTTAAATTCAGGTAATGGTTAATAATTAAGCATAAATCAATAAAAAATTATTTTCAGATAAATTTGTCTATTTTCATTTTGGTTAAACGCTTTGCTTTTTTTTGCAAATTATTAATCTCTTATTATTATTTAAGATAATATTATATAGAATAGATTCTAAAACATAACAAGTATTTTCAAAAAAAAAAAATATAATAATCATATCTTTTAATGAATATTATGCAACAATTTTAAAAAATTTTTAATTTATATTATAAAATTTCACTTTTACATGTTTTTATAAATTTAATTATTTGCTATTAAACAAAAAAAACAAAAAGGTTTAAATTATAATCTTCTAAATAAATAATAAATAAAATTATAAAATTTCTATTATAAATAAAAGGTAAAATTTGAAAAAATTATTATCAAAAATTTATAAAACTTAGTAAAAAACAAATTTATATTAAAATTTATAAAAACTAAAAAATTAATAATTAAACATTAATCAAATTAAAATATCCGAAATTTTTTATTAAAATTTTTTAAGAATAAAATCTATTTTATAGAGTCTTTTAAATTAAAATATTAAATATTAAAAATTTAATATATAATATATAAACCCTGATTTGCAACTTAGATATCATATTTTTTTTTATATTTAGCAATTTTAAAATGCTAGAAATGATTTAAATAACTTTAAAATATAAATTTGATATCTAAAATATTATTAAAAGCTTTACTATATCTAAGTTTTGATTATTATTTTATTTATAATTTATATTATTTAATAAATAAAAGTAAATTTTTTTATATTACCTTAATATTCATTATATTTATAATATACTGTACATATATATTAGGAAAATAAAAATAATATGTATATTATTGACTTTTCAATAATAGTAAATTTATTCTTTAATAATATTAAATTTTAATACTTTATATTTATATTTTTATTTTACTAATACTTATTCTCATTATTTTTTTTGATCTTATATTTTTATTCGAATTTATATTATTATCTTTTTTTATACTCAATTTTATAACTTACTTTATTAGTAAATATATTTTTTATAGAACCTGTGTAAACTTTATAAGTTATTTTTTATATATTTAAGATATACATTAAAATTTATTTAATTCTATATAAATATAGAATTATTAGATCATACAAATTAGATTTTTAGTTCCTGTTATGTTTTAAAATTTCAATAAAAATATTTATATTTGTAAAAATATTAATTTGACTTTAAATATAATTTTATTTACATAAATATTTATATATTAAAGCTTTATTTTATCATATTCTTTTATCATTTATATTTATTTACTTACTTAATTTTATAAATTTATTTTTTTACTTCTCTTTTATTTTCAATTAATATATTATAGGTTTCACAACATAAAAAGTAATTAGTATCATAATTATATTATTTTTCATATTATATTTACAATTAAAATAAAGTAACTTTTTATTAAATAATCTACTTGAATTTTATAAGACTATTGCATATTAGAATATTATTAACTTTAACTTTAGAGAATAATTTTTCTATAGAATTACTTGTGTTATTAATATTTTATATAGAATTAGTTAAGCTATAAAAAGTATCGCAATATGTGCAATATGTATATTGAATATATTGAATGCTATTTAAAAATCTCATTAGTTCATTTTCTTCTTATACCAATAACTTAAATTTTGAATAAATTTCTTACTATTTATCATATTCTCTATATTAAATTAATATATTTAACATTTTTACAATATTGTGCATTAGGTCTAAAACCTATTTATATAATTTTTATTTGTTTTTTCTTTTAAAAAAGTTGATTATTTTTTTGTAGTTTCTTAAATCACATAATTGTTTCTTATATTATAATATAAAATTTTCATATTAACATACAATTTTTCAAACAATGCATTATACTAAACCTTTTTCTAATTAATACTTTTTATATATAAAATATTACTTCAAAATCTGCATATCACAAATAAGATAATTAGTATAAAACTGATAAATCTTCAAAGAAATTTATTATTTTTG